TCAGTTGTTTTAAAGTAAGCTATTTCAAGCTTTTTGTTTGAAGTACAATAACATAAAGAAAATGGAGAAAACCCCAACAATCATATGACCCCCCTATGAGTAAGTGTTTTGGTGACAGTCGGAAGGAAAAACTCCCTTTTAGGAGGAAAAAACTTCCAGCCGAACCGGTCTAAGGTAGGGGCAACCATGTGCTACGACCAGTTGATGGTGAATGGATGAAGACAGGACAAAGACATGCTGTGGATATCCCCCAGCAGCCTAGTGCTATTGCATGTAACTATGGAAGGATTTAGGGTCATCTGATCCAACCCTAACTATATGCTTTATGAAAAAGGAAAGTTTTGAGCCTAATTTTAAATATAGAGAGTGTGTCTGTCTCCAAACTGGAAGCTGGTTCCACAGAAGAGTCCCTAAGATAAGCATGTATAATGTTTTTTTGTTTTGTTTTTGTTTTCTTAAATCCTTTCCTGTCTGGCAGCCTATGCAATCAGAATTGTGATCTAAATGCACTGTGATAAGTAGATATATATTGAAATTACAGAGTGCAAATAGAAATGCGCAATCCCAACTGCTGCTCCTGTAAGGAAAAAACAAACATACAGCACAAATAAACTGGATTTTGTCCACTAGGGTGGACAAGGCTAAGCATCAGGTTTCAAACGAGCTGAAGCTCTGTCTAGGTGTTTGGTTAATGAAAAAGCTGGAATGGAAGAAATTCTAGCGGGTGTGTCGCCGAGTGGTGAAAAACAATTAGATTTTTCTGAAACATCATGATTAGTTAATGCATTGTCTCTACTGTTCCCCAACACTCTTTGAACTCACAATGGTACCTAAGAGCTGCCATCTGGTGGTGTGATTAAAAATGGCACGCACAAACACCTTTAGTGAACATTTAGCAACTCCAACAGTTAGTTTACACATGACCACACTAAGGTTTGTTACATGGAATATACATGAAGTTGGTTCCAGGGAAAAGAGGCTTAATATTACTAATTAGTTTAATGACTTACTTGGCAGACATTAAAGAAAGACATGTCTTTCTGCAGGAGACTCACATGTCCAAAACATCTGCACACACACTCACGTCTCCTCAGTTCCCTCACACATTCTCAGTCTGTTACAATGCAAAACAAAGAGGTGTAGCCATATTAATTAACATAAAAACAAAACTTCACTGTTAGCAGCTCTAGGTTGTTGAGTGACATGAGATCAAGAGAGACTGAAGTCCCCCGGCCACCCCTGTCATCACAGTTTGGGCGGGGCGGGGTGGGGGTGTAAAGGGCTTAACATCCAGGCTTATGTGTTAAAGATGACCAGAGGGCTACAACCGAGCCATTTTCATTTATTATTTTCCATATATGCTAATTATAGATTATCTTTATTCTTATTCCAAAACATAAATCAAATCCAAGCTGAATACCAGAATATTATCAGGTAAACATAATTATGTTTAAGTTTAGATATTGGTGGATCCTATTTAAACAGAGTGATTGGATGTCTAGGGAGGAGAGATGGAGTCAGCACTTGAAAGGGCATAAATTGGAGCACCCAGAAATGTTTTGGGTCTGTTTCCGGCAGTCCTGCGAGATGAGCAGTTCAGAAGATTGGATCCCAGAAGTTCGCCGTTGAAAATTCCCGCAGTGACACCAGAGGGATCAACCACCACTGTCCAGATGGTGGACTTACAAATTAAACTTGGATTTGGCTCTTTCTCTGCTCATCATCACCATCATTGCCATGTTGGATTGTTTCCATTAACACAGAACACTGAGAAACACATCTCCAGGCCTGTATGTGCCTGTCTCTCCTCGAAAGAAAAATAAGCATTAGCCCAGAGTAAGTTAATTAGTAAAGGATTCAGGTGAATTGTTTATCGTTTTGTGATTATTACTATTTAATTTCGCTTTTGCTTTGCTCCTGCTAAATTGATTTTTTAAAAATATCCTGCAATTAAAGTCTGAATTGTGGACATTCACTTTTTAACCTTTTGTGAAATAGTGAAGTTAGAAATCTGGATGCTAATCATTAATAGTGCAAATAGCTCTTACAGGTTACTACAGCCCTTAACATATAACAGTCCCTTGGGGGCCTACTGTTGCTCATTGGTCCAGTGTTCTCTTTTTGTATGACAGTACATTTTTCACTTTATTTACAAATAAACGTCCTCAGACTGGGAGAATATTGCCATGCCAATGCACAAAGTTATCACAGCTGTTCACTGGAAGATTTTAAAGTACTTCATCCTTTCCGACTGTGTGTGCTGACAAGATTTTTGGAGATGCAGATTTGCTTTTCCAGGAGGACTGCACACAGTGCCAAAACTATTGCCAAGTAGTTTGCTGATTATGTTCCTACTGTGATTGACTGGCCAGCAACCTTGTCTGACTGAACCCAATGGAGAATGTGTGGGGTATTGTCAAGACAAAATCATCAGTCTTGTTTTGTATATTCAACAATTCCAGACAGAAAAATAACTCTGCTGTTACCTTTTAACTGCACCTCTTTAAGAAGTGGTCTGTTATATTATAGAAACACATTCTATATTGTGTTTTCCCCAATAATGTCCCCAACCCATCCTCTAAATGTTGCAGGGAAAATGTTCTACCACTATTACAATTTCACAATTAAAGAAACATTAAAAAAATCATCTCAGCCATAAAAAGCATCCTAAAACATTTTCAGAATATTGCAACAATTGTCATGGTTCTGGGTCTTGGACCTAGCGTTTCTGGACCCTGCCCTGTTGGTCTGTATTGGTTCCAGCTGTGTGATTTATTATTAAAACAGACATAACATAATTTTTTCACCCCCTCCCAAAAAACACATGTTCAAAGCAGCATGTCAGACCAATATCAGACAGAAATGTCACATGATATCAAACAGAAGTTGTTAATTCAGCTCTGCAAAGTGGGCAAGTGAAGCAGTTCATTATAAGCTGTAGTTTTAAGTTGCTCTTCATATTTCTGGCCACCAGATGTCATCAAAGATGACTGTGTTGAAAAGCTTCGAGTAATGAACAGTTTTTCAATGCAAGCTTCAATGCTTCAGAAAGCTTCATTTAGCCATCACAACTGTCAGGTTTGAACTTGAGTTTTGTGAGCTGGCCCCCAAGAAAGCTGAACTGTGATCTCAGAAGCTGTGCATTCTGTTCCCCATCTAACTCATTCAGAGACTATTTCTAATGTTGCAATCTCTGTGTATCTCCTGCTCATTCTGAGACGGCTTGATATGCTGCCTTGTCAACTCTCCCTGAGACTGAGAAATGTGTCCCTGTGCTTTCAAAAACTGCTTGTTCCAAAGCTTTCTAAACCTGAAACTGTGTTTTTTGGACTGTTTGCTGTGCTGCTAACTAAATTCTCTCAGAGACTGAGACTCTGCCCGCGGCCTACCAAGAGATAAGTTTGACCTTCTGCTTCAGCCAGAGGTCCCTGCATCGACGCCCCGTCCTGATGGGCAAGGGGGCCTCCAGACCTGTCTCCCTAGGGCAGTGGTTCCCAAACTTTTTTTGCTTGGCCCCCCTTTGTTTTTAATTTCATCATAAGAAGCGTTTGTGAACTAAAAATCAATAATGTGGGATACTGTTTTTCCATAATTTGGACAGCCCAGCGCGTGCTGTCGGGGATACTGTCAAGAGATTTATTCAAAAGACACTTCTTCAGCTAAGAATCTAAAGGTAGAAACACACAGACGCTGCAGTTTTTACTTGCAAGGGCATGATCACAGAACGCTCACACCAGAGTGGGGGCCCTGTGAATGTGCGCTCTGTTCCTGCACTTGCCTTTATTTATATACAAAAGTAATACAACAGTGAATACGTCTTATTCATTAACAGAGGAATGTTAGTATGTAGGGAGTGAAGATAAAAGTGGTTCAGGTGTATGTGAGTGTGTGTGTGTTATTCTGAAAGACGTGGCCCCTCTTCTTGAAGATAAGAGCATCCAGCTCCCATCTTCCTGGCAGGAGTGAAATGATAACAGCTTGCTCAGCTATTATCGCTGTGAGAAAGAATTTATAAAGCAAGTCTTGATTCCAACAACAGTAATAAAAGGGTCATCATGCAGTAGTCTATAATATGCAAACTTATATCACTAAAAGATTATACTGACTACTAAGTACAATTTTATATTGACAGATACCTACCTTCGCACCACCATTGTGCAGGTGAAGCCAAAGGCAAGATATGCGTCATCATATTTTCTAGTCTTTGGCTTGGAAGGAAGTTGGTTTGGAAGCATATTTGGTATATTTGGAGACAGAGATATACAGTTACAATTGTGTCATTAACTGCATTGCTAAGTTTCTTCAGTTATCTGCATGAACATAAGAAATAATCAAAAATGCTTTTTCCTTCATGCACACTTGCACGCTACAGTGTGTCATGAGCTGAAATCAGACACCACAGCACCCCTACCAAATGCAAGGAGAAAAAAGAAAAGAGTGTGTTTTTGTGCTGGGAGTCTGCAGCTCCCATGCAGCTCTGTTTTTTAGTTCTCTCTTTTTTCTTTTTTCTTTTCTTTCTTTCTTTTTTTTGCCGTTTTCCACAACATGAAGACTTTTGTTGAATAGTTTATTAAATCCTACAAAAATCCTTTAAATTTTGAGTGACGATAATCACTAACATGTGTAAAAGACATGTATTATCATATTATATATATATATATTTTATATATAATATAAAATAATAAATATTAATCTAGTTTGGGTTTTTTTTTACATGAAATCTGCATAAATGGATTCAAAGATTAAATCTATGGCTCTCTCTTTGGGTTCTTCCTTCCATGCGCTTACGTTTTCACTCAGAAGGCTATTCTCTAACTTTTTTTCCCTTGTTGACAGAAATTTATTACATATATGCAGAATTCCATTAAATTCCCTCTTCAGCCATTTCTTGCGCCTCCAAGTGAAGCCTGTCTGCGTGTCAGTAGTCACGCACGCAAAAACCCCAATCTTAGACCGGTTCGTGTTGTAATCTCGCGTTATGTAGCGAGACTTCGGGTGTACCGGGCTCAGCAGACAAATGTCTTGCTCTTTTTAATGGGCGGTAAGTTGCCGGGTGCCTAGATATTGAAATAAAAACTAAAAGGGGACTTCAGAATGGAACCGTATTGTTTGTAATAGGTGGAAGTCGAACATACGCTGCTGTGGAGATATTTTAATAGACGCTTAGAGAGCAGACAGCAGAATTCTCATCATATCGACGCGTCTCGTTTCGCCGGCATCTTTCACTCGCTAACGTTGAAAATAGCTAGCTGAGCTGATGGACTCAATTGGAATTTGTGCTTGTGTGTGAGCTTCACGGTTGTGTTAGTGTTAAGTGTGCGTTGTACGCCAAGTAAAAGCCGTCGACTTTAATAGAGGCACGTGGTGACGTAGTAGTCAGGACTCGCGATATAAAGGTGATTCAGCCTTTGGTTAGTACAGGGTCAAGCTGTTCGGGAGAGGCGGACACATGATGCACCAGCAGGGCTCGTTGATGCCCTCTTTGCTCAGTGGTGTATTCTGCCAGTGTCGGTCGACAGACACACATCCAGGGGCCGACCCTGGTGGTGGAGGCAGGGTTCCCCCCTCCGTCCCTTCCTCGGATGCATCACCATCTAAACCAGTAACCCAACAGTCAGCGTCCGGCGTGTGGCACATCGACGAAGGAGAGCATCCATGTGACATATGTGGGGGTTCGGAGCAGGAGCACAGACTCAAAGTGCTCTTCCAGGTCCTGGATGTGAACGGGGATGGAGGCATCTGTGTGAACGACTTGACAATTGGGCTGAAGAAGTTAGGAGTACATCGCACTGAACATGAGCTCATGGTAAGTGGACACAGCTCGGATGCTCAGTTGCATGATATATAGTGTCTTCACTTCCCTGTTTGTGTGTACTAACAGAATTTCAAAGCATTTCCCACGGAAAGACACCACATTCATTGTAAAATTTTCATTTAAGAAGACTGAACATGAATGCAGGGTGAGACAATGAAATGAAACTGGTGCTCAGAGTGATTTAAATAGGAGAGTAGGTAAGGGAGTAAGATGACACCAGGGCATGGCTTGAAACAACTGGAAAAAAGTACAAATGCACTAAACAAGCTTTGGGGTAAATACAAACTGACATGTCATTTAGTAACAAAGGATTTAATTACTTGTACACCAAAAAACATTAAGATATATCAACTGTGATAATAGTGATAGCACTGTCAATAAGCAATGCCATGCTTTAGGGTGTTAAATGGTACAATGCATATTTTATATTTAAAATATCTCTCATACATAAGAAGTGCCAAAATATTAGGGATCTGCACAACTAGTTGACCAACCAAGTAATCGTTGCTATTGTCACTAATTGCTACCAGATGTACTAGTCGTTTAGTCTTAATTGTTTTACATTTGAATTGATACCCATGGCAGGTGTTGTGACAAAAAGTGATTTCCAGTATTTGCCAAAAAATGACTGTTGGAACTTAAGCTATTATAAAATAGGTCAATCATAGTTTAACAAAGAATATCAAGTCGTTTAGAGCCAGAAAGCGCATTCCTATCACAAAGTAGCTGCTGCCATCAGTTTTTGGTAAAGTTACTTTTTTTTATCAAGTAAATAAAGGATATATAAGTGTCACTGACATTAGTGAACAGAGATTCTAACAGAGATTTATCAAAGTGGCCTCTTTGCTAAATTGTAACAAATATAACATCACAGTTCTATAAACTTACTTGAAGTGACCAAAAAAGACCAGATTAATGACAGTATGGGTTCAAATACACAGTCATAAAGATACTTCAAAAAGAGGTAATTTCTTTATTAAATATATATAACCCCTTCATAAATTTACTGTACAATATAAAGCGACTTGAGGCAACTGTTGTTGTGATTTGGCGCTATATAAATAAAATTGAATTGAATTGAATTGAATAAATCCTATTCACTACAGTCTATTTACTACTGTAAGTAAAGATATTAGATGTAAAAAAACAAAAACAAAAACAAAAAACCCACCTAAAAACAATGGAAATCACTTGCGTCTTAATGTTATGCAGGCATCTGCCACCAGATGGAGCTACATTGGTGAGAAACACATTAAATCTATTAATCTGGGCTTGATCTCTTTGTTAACATTATTATTGTTGGGGGTTTTTTAAGGCAAAAAATGAGATCACAGATACACGTGGTGGAAATGAGCTTTCACTGAAAGGTGGATAGTGTTACCCTTAGCAATAGGATGGGGAATTTAGTCAGGGGATCATAGTAGAGCTGCTGATTTTCCACATCGAAAGGAGCCAGCTGAGGCGGGCACCGCCTGAGTAAGGTGTTCCAACCAGGCATGTTCTACCAGCAGAAAGTGCTGGAGCAGACCCGGGACCAGCTTTGAATAACTTTTCCCTGGAGGAGGTGGTACATATTTCAGTCGCAGTTTCTGAATTTTTCGGATGTTAATTTGTCACATTTTAATAATATGGGAACATCTTACGTAGTAACATGTTTTCATATCATATTTAACATCGGTTTATTTTAAGTGTTTTTCTTCTTCGTTGTCTGAAGTATAACATGCAATGTTCATAATGCATAATGCCAGGTGCTACACAGTTAAGCGGGAGGATTTATTATTGAAGAATGTGATTAGTGGTTTAAAATGCCTTTGTTTAATGAGTTTTTGCATTAAAGGGTTATCAAATTTAACTTTATATTAAGTGTTTCTTAGTTTTAGACTAGTCTGTAGTTTTTGTGGGGGGTTTGCGCTTGGAGGACTTAGAAATTTGTTGCCAGGAACATCCCAACTAAATACAATTAGAGTACATGCTTAACGGAGTGCAGCTTTGTTATTTAAAAAGAAAAGATTTCCAGACAAGGTAAAAATGCCCCCAAGACCAGTACCGCAGGAACTTTGACAACAGCTTGAAATGCAGAGGGAAATTGGGGATGAGACTGTGTGAGTCTAAAAGAGAGACACAACACTGAAAGAATCCCAAAGAGAAGTCTCTGGGAGATGAAGTTGGTACATCAATGCCCCGAAAGAACCAACTGACAGCTGAAACAGGAAACATGATTCAACTGTGTTCTTGTCTAGAAACGTGCACAGTTGAGGTTCACAACCGTTTCACTTGTGTGTTAGTTGGTGAATCCTTGCTGATTGTAATGGTAAAGATATAGCTATGTATTTGTTGTTGTTTTTCTTGGAATACAGATAGCTTGGCTGTGTGCTAATAGGATAAATTCATTTTGTTGGCCTGCTGGGTTGAATGAAGGGGTTATGCTGTGTATAACTTGCAGTGGGGGGGAAAAAAAAACATTTCAACCTTCGTGAGGTAAATTCCACAAAATTTATACATTTGTAAAAAATGAAAATGTACCTGGTAATTCTATACCTTGTGTTTTGGGTCCCGGTGACCAATGAAATTCCTTTCCTAGTTCAGTTTGATACACGTTTCTGTACCTGAGTGACAAGAGTTGATGTTATGGTTTTTGGAGTGAGAGGAGAGTTGCAAATGATGGCAAAGCTTTGTTGAACACAAGCATCTTGTTAAAAATTTTGTTTGGAAATCTGTCTTAATAATTGAGGCACCACTCTATGTTACCATATTTATGTTTTTGTTTTTTTTTTCAAATATTTGTGAATTAATTCTTCTCAGTGTGACACACAAATTTTTCTCACTGTTTGTTAATAACAGTCTCTTAATACCTGATAACAGTGTCCTCCTAATACCATGTAACATGCTGTTCACAATGGGATTCACCTTCAACAGCTAAATGAGAATGGAATTTCAATGTTTCTGAAGATAATAGTGAAATCCTATACCCCTTTGACAGCAGGAACCTTTCTTTAAGCAGATTAAAGTCGAGTGTTTTTACTGGAGTATTCTGTATAGTTTATTGCAATGAACATCTAGTTTGTAAATAGTGACCCTGTACCTGGAAAGCCTACAGACAAAGACAGAACATTTTTAACTAACCATTAGAAGGTGTGACAGAAATTCTCTGTGACCAAACACTGTGTTGTGCCAGATGTCATGTCAGCATAAGTCACATATTTAACCAAGTCCTTTTGACTGAAAAGAATTATAAACACTGCATGGATCAACAAATCCAACCTGATGTGTTTGACACAGAAAAATTCTGCACTATATATTTTGTACCCAAGTTGTTTGACATATTTAACAAAAAAT